TGGCAAAGGCTCATAAAAAACAACAAGTAGCCAAATAAGGATGGGTCAACCCAATGAGTTCCCGGGGGATTTGTTAAATCCTCTTTTCTATCAGATAGGACCCGGACAGCTTTCTCCAGCCAGGCTTTGGACAAAAAGGTGAGAACTGGGTCACTGGGTGACTTGGTCATGGACCCAAAGAAGGAGCAAGATACCGAATCAGGGGCCTTCGGGTTATAGAAGAGCCACACAGTCTGCAGAACAGACCTGTCCCTCTGTGGAAAACACGCCTCTAAGAACTGGCTCAGGAGAGCCACTGACACCCAAACGAGCCTGACCTTTCTGAGACTTGGCAAAGTCTTGTTTAAAATGACACCAACGCCTCATGGCCGATTCTTTAAAGAAGGATGTCAGGTAAAGGGGTCAGTGGTACAGAGAGGGGCTCAGGACCACAGCTAACTGCCCTTTCTGGGCATTCTAACGCTCCCATCCGCACGGGTGGGCATCCATGCCAATGGACACAGTCTAGTTTGGATCAAAGCATCCTCTCCCTCATTTAACAGATTTGCTCAGATGGACGTCTCAGAGGAGAAGCAATGTTAGTAAGTGAGGGGGGTGGGGGTTCTAAACATAAAAATATGTAGGTCGCTGGATTTTTAACTAAATTAGAGAATAATTTATCTATTAAGGAAGACTCACTATGTATTTCATGAAACTGCTACTCACAGGTCAGTGGACATTCCACAAGCATTCCTTAGAAATAGGAAGTCTTAAAATACTGTCATAAGCCTCTGACTAACATTTTAAGTCCCTAACATGACAAGGGGCAAAAGGATACCTGAGGTTAGGATTCATAATCAAACTGTCAAAAGGCAAAGATGCCAGCAACTTATTTCCCGTCCGTAGCTCCAGAAAGCGAAGGTATGCCAGCACTGAAGTAAACTGGGGATGCAGGCGAGAGAAAACACACATGGAAAAACACCCGACAGAGCCCTGAGAAGGGGCGGGCCAAGGAGCAGAGTGACTCCGAAACTCACGGAAATCCCGTAAGTCACTGGGCAGATGCAGGGAGAATTGCTTTCATTTGAGTCAAATTTGGAAGATCTTATAGGAACTCAAAACTAATGTGTTTCTGATGCTCATTCTCTCTCGCTCCACCCGCCACTCCCAATATTTAATATCCGTAAATAAATCTGACATCCACTGAGCTCAGGGGACTCCGTTTAAAATAATAATACTTTGCTTTAGATTTGGGAAGGTAGTAGGCTAAAACGGAAGGTAGGTTTCATTCAGACTTCTAACCCATGGCATAACCAATGTCCATACTCATACATTCCTAGGCAGTTTCCATTTGATATCCTCAAGGCTGGCAATGGCATTGACCTGTCACCTGGGACTTACTAGGAAGTGCTTCTGAGGGAAACCGGTGAGGGACTAGGAGGAGCAGGACACGGAAGGGGAGAGACCCAAGCAAGGTCCCAGCCTCAGCCGACCTGCGAAGAGAGAGCTCTGGGGTGGGAGTCACTTCTCAGGGTCCCTGCGACAGCAGGCACGGGAGCTGGGCTTCGTCTGCCTCCACCCATCAGACCTTAGGTTGGCATTGCCAGCTCCTTGCCAGTGCGAGCAGGCAAAATCCAGTGGCCTGAGGAGGATCCTTTAAGCTTTTCATCTGCCTGTCTTAAACATGAAAAACTATTCTGATGTCTATTCACGAGTCCAGCATCATTTATGAATGCTGTACATGTGCTTTTGTTCTACACACACACACACACTCCACTGATTTGTTCTTGGTCTAATCGTCAAGCACAAGCACATACTGAAAAGTTGCTTTTCGTTTAGTTTGATAACAAATGAATAATGGACATCACCAACTATTTCTGGAAAATACCCAGTGGGACTGAGGATATGCTAAATATCGGTAAAGCAAATGAGTGCAAGACTGATGTGGCCCTAGGTGTCCACCTAAACCCGTGGTCAGAAAACTGCAGCTCGCGAACCACATGTGGCTCTTTGGCCCCTTGTGTGTGGCTCTTCCACAAAATACCATGGCCTGGGCGAGTCAATTTTGAAGAAGTGGCGTTAGAAGAAGTTCAAGTTTAAAAAATGTGGCTCTCCAAAGAAATTTCAATCGTTGTCCTATTGATATTTGGCTCTGTTGACTAATGTGTTTGCCGACCACTGGCTTAAGCCAACGGTTCTGATTTTGTTTGCTTTGGTGGGGGGGACAAAGGGTAAGGAGTTCAGATTCTTTTCTGTCCAAAGGGTACCAATTCTTTTATGTTATCATCTATAAAAGTTAATTTTTATGTGCTTATTACATCTGGCAAATTATTATATCACCCATAAATGTCTGATTCCACTAAAAAAAAAAAGCCTCCCATGTGGAAAGTGCATGGTTGGTTTCATAGGGCATCGAACCCCATATTTTCCACGTAACAATGCTGCTGGGGATGCCCCGCTATCTGGCCTCGCTGCTGGGGACCGCGTGCACACAGCAAAGCAATCTGCCTGCTGACCTCCGGCTGGAGTTCACACTATGTCATTCTGTCAATACCATCTACCTTGATTAGGTTGGGCTTTATACACAACAGGTTATGATCCCAGAGGGATGAAAAGCTTTCCCAAATTAAAAGCAGAATTTTAAAAGGAAATACTCATACATTCCTAGGCAGTTTCCATTTGATATCCTCAAGGCTGGCCCGTGAACCCCAGCTCACGCTGATTGAAAGTGAATGTTCCCTTCTGGGCGTAGCCATCTCACAAATTTAATGGCGGGAGGAAAAAAATAAAATGTGTTCCATGCTTCAATTAGACCTTTTATAACTTGGCACTTGAAAGATGGCAATGCCAGAGAAAAATCATTAATCCATAAAAACAGACAAAAAGGACCGTGCCGCCGCGGACAGACCTCCCGGAGTCACGGCCCTGGCGGGGCGACCCCTCACACCGGCCGGTCGGCCTGCCTTTTGTCCAGCCTCATTGTGCGTCTTCTCTCAGCCTTCGTGCTACTTGGACAAAAGGTTTACTGTATTTGGTTTTAAATCCAAAGTAATACAGCCATGCTTTCAATTTTGGCCTTTGCCAAAGGAGCTGTATATAGAAGCAGGCAATAAAATGTTGGCTAACCGTGAAATGCCTATTCATGGGCATGAACGATACATGAAAGGACTTGTGCGTGCACCCGCGTGCGCACACACAGAACTGCACATGCAGACTAAGAGATGCATCCTTCCACTTTGTATTTTGCAGCGGTACCCAACAGACACGCTCAAAGGGACCAGGTTGTTCATAATCGCAAAAGCTGCCTGAGGACTCTGAGTCACAAGGGAGACATAATGGAGTGATGTTTGGAACATGCGCAGGCCTCTGTGAACCTCAAGACTCATTTTCAAAGGATGTAAACAGTCTCCATCCATAACAGAACATATAAGTCTGCTAAGATTCAAGGGAGCAAGAAACGTCACCTCTCTGGGTCTCCTGCCACACTGAATCCATCAGCACCCAACCTCAGACAACCCCACTGCGTCTCTTTCCCGCTCCCTGGAGTCCAGCATTGCTGGAGACGGAGCGAGCCACAGGGGTTGCTTCTATCGCCAGTGCGTGCTGTGGAACTTCAGCTGAGGCCTCCAACTCCCTCACAAATCCTCCTATCTCAAAATGATTCCTTAGCACTGTGGTCGGCAAACCGAGACTCGCGAGCCACATGTGACTCTTTGGCCCTTTGAGTATGGCTCTTCCACAAACTACCAAGGCCTGTGCGAGTCTATTTTGAAGAAATGGTGTTAGAAGAAGTTTAAGTTTAAAAATGTGGCTCTCCAAAGAAATGTCAATCGTTGAGCTGTTGATATTTGGCTCTGTTGACTCATGAGTTTGCCGACCACTGCCCTAGCTCATTCAAACTGTCAACCTACTTCTGGCCTCCCTTTCAACACCAAATTTTGGAAACAATAATTTGCAGCCCCTGCTTCTGTATCCTCAACAGGTAATCATTCCTCAACTCCTAAATTCTGGCTCCTGCCTTCACCACTCTAATGAAATTATGCTTTATAGTTTGCAAAGGTCTCTACCACCCAATCACCCAATTTCATGGCAAAGTTTCAAGCTTCTCCCTCCCAGACTTCTTAGGTTTCCATCCATAAGAAGTCTCTTGGAAACCTGACTCACACCTTCCATCCATCTCACTACCACTTCCCCATTCTTCCATCTCTACCTAACCCCAGCTCTCCTGGCATTTCTTGTGTCTCTTCCTGGTAGGAGCAGTGGTGATGCTTTCTTCCATTCATTCCCCTGACTCTTTAAATCCCAGGCTCTGTAAATATATTTCTAATCTTGTTCTCTAACCCTGACCTCTCTTTTTGCATCTGCACCAGCCTCATTTTTTTTTTAATGATGGCAACACATCTTCACTTAAGAAATCTGCCTGCACCTCCAAGTCAAAATAGCCCAATCCAAAACATCTCCTTCTTGCTCCAGCTCTTGGCTGCTGTCATATTTTGGGGTTAATTTGCATACTTGCTCCTGATTGGCTGGTGGGCATAGCGGAGGTATGGTTAATTTGCATGTTTCTCTTTTATTAGATAAGATAATGATACTTTTTTAAACAAAGTTCAAAACCAAAGTAATAGATTGGGCATGCATTAATAGTTTTAAAATTACTTTTTTTAAAAAGACAAGGTAACAGTAACAATAACCACAAAACTCAAAGTCAGGGTTACATCTGAGGAAAAGTAGATGAGAAGATGAGGGAGGATAGCAGCACACAGACCAGGTCACTGGTCACATTTAGGGTCCTGTGTTGGTGAGTTTAGTTCTGTTCATTATGTTGCTGAAATTGACTAATTAGTTAAACCTATGCATCATGATAGTAGTTCACAAACCAAGCATTATTAATTAATCTAGGTCTATGTGCTCTGAGAGCCATAAAAGGTTTTTAAGAGATTAAAAAGGAAAATGTGTCACAACGCCATTCCTAGTTATGATTCTTAACCACTACCAGTTACCCTGCTCAGTGCTCATTGTACCTGTGTGCGGTTGAATGCCACTCTTGCAAATACAGCTTGGGACACGCTGGCCCTCTTCAGCTCATCTCTGACTTGCTGGTAGATGTCAGGAGAGACTTCCACAGAAGAGTTGGTTGGCTCTGGCTTCACTGCTCTGGGAATGGGTGGATGGTTCAGAAACTGCTGGTTGATGGCTTGAGGGTGCTGGTGAGCCAGGAGGCGGCTGACGGCGATCTGCTGGTTTATCAGGTGGGCCATGGCTATCTGCTGCCTGACCAGCTGGGGGCTGAGCTGGGGGGAGAGCAGCCCCGGGCTCATGATGGGCTGTAACGCGGGCACTTGGTTCCGGACTGGAGTGCTGTGGTGGATTTGGCTGTGAGGAGACTGTTCGTTGGTTTTCCCCAAGGACGCCAGCTGATTCATATTTGGTAAATGCATTGGACGCTGGCCCAGAACACAATAGTCTGAAAGGTTTTCTCGTTCCACTCTTTCCACTGTTAGAGATAAAAGTGATAGTGATCATGGTTTTCATTGATATGATTTGTTGCTAATATGTCACTTTTTTTTTTTTTTGGTAAATTAGGACATAAACCTCTTTTAATACAAAACTGAAAGCCCTAAAGTAAAAATAAGTTACCCTTTTCTGCAAAATGTTAGAATAATAGAGTTTTTCATACATGATATGAAAGTGATAATACTCAACACTTTACTTTTCTTAAATTCTTAAAAGTAGGCATTTTATTGGATAGCTAAGACAGAAAACCCTAACCATTATACATTCTAAAATTGCTCATATATCAAAGCTCTATCTTATGATGCTTCCTCACTCTTTGTTACAAATATTAGTACACCAGCTGTTTTCATCTTCTGGAGTTCATGGTCATCAAGAAATGATGATGACAACCTCTTCTGTCAAATTAAATATGCCCCGCCTAATAAAAAGCTACCTAACTATGAAAACCATCATAGAAAATGTCCTACACACAGTATTCTCCTTTTATCTATTCACTTGCTGTCTTTGCTATAGAAATATCTCTTGAAGAAATTGATATTATAAAGATGGTAATACACAGTAGGATAAGAAACCTCACAAAATTAACAATACCACTTGGACTTGCCCTTAAATAAGACACTCCCCTCTCTGGGTTATCTACCATTTTACATTCTATTGCTCTTTACTGAAACTTGAAGGGCCAGCCTTGGAAGGGAGAAGAATCAGATATGCTCAAACATGAGGCAGATTTTTTTTTCTTCCCCCTAGAATATTTCTCAAGAAAGAGTGAGCCGCTTCAGAGTCAAATCCTTATCTAACTCTCTGTAATACTTTATCATGTGAAACAGAGGTTTGCTTAAAGAAAACACATTAGGCAAAACAAACAAACAAACAAACAAACAAACAACCCTTCATCATTACCAGTTTTAAATGTTGATAGATATAATTTACAAAATTTGTTTTTTCTAAACAAAAATTCTAAACAGATTTTATAATTATTTCATAAAATGCAAATATTGGATATGATTTCCAAAAGCCTACTAAGGTAGCTATAAAGAATACTACTGTGGGTGTTCCATGCTGGAGATCAAAAGTCCTCACCTAGAGGAATTGTTAAAGGTGCTATTTTGTACCGTTATTATGTGTTTGTAATTTGGCATACAGTTTACAATGACTGAATCATACTTGAATTACAAAAAACAAACAAACAAACAACAACAAAAAAAACACTAAGTGTTGCCCGGTTGGCATGGCTCAGTAGTTGAACATTGATCTATGAACCAAGAGGTCACAGTTCAAGTCCCCGTGAAAGCATAAGCCTGGGGTTGCAGGCTAGATCCCCAGTGTGAGGCGTGCAGGAAGCAACTGATCAGTGATTCTCTCTGATCATTGATCTCTCTCTCTCTCCCCCCCCTTCCTCTCTGAAATCAACAAAAAATTTAAAAAATTTTAAAAAGCACTGAGTCTCAAAAACGTTTAGGCAGAAGTGATCTGTGCTGCAAAACCGGGTGAGATGACTCAAAAAACAGTGATGAGTTTGTCTTTACTTTGATGGAAGATGCCAGTGACAGATCACATGTGAAGAATTATAATAATTAATTAATGAACTATAAGGGTGAGAAAAAAATAACATTTCTAAATTAGAAATTTTATGTAATATGTGATTTTAAAATACATGAGGAGGAAAATTAATACATAAAAAATGTAAGCAGACATCTGACCATTTCATCTGGATGTCTAGAGGTTTTATATATTCAAAACTTTCCATTGGGAAAATAAATAAATACTAATATCTTGGGTTTACATTATAGTCAGACATTTATAGCATTTTTTTTCTGCTTTAAAAAACAACAACACTGAATGATCGCCTAACTTTCCTATGAACCCCAAATAAGTCAAAAGTTCACCTCAAACTTTTTTAAGTGTTCAATTTTTAACTTAATCCGTCCAATGTAATTCATTTAGTTTGCATTCACCTTTTCCTCATAAAGTTCAAGGTGAACAAATTATTTTAATCTTATCCTCTGAAAGGCAAACCCTTTCAATCACTGTATTAATTAAACTGTAAGGCATACAGTCTTAAAACCAAAGCAAGCAAATAGTTAAGAGTCTTCGAGTAATGATATCTATCACAGTGTCTGTAAAACAAAAATCACTATTATGATTTCCTTACTGAAAATAGAAGTGGAGGCCATACTTTAGAGGCAGAAATACTTGGCCTCAGTAGACATTTTATTCACTTTTATTTGCTTTTTAATTCAGCCGAAGTAAAAACAAATTCAAATATTAAATTATGTTTTCAGGTACTTAAGCAAAAGTTTTATCCATTTCTTTTTCTACTTAAAAAACAAATCCATTCTCTCACAGCATGCATTCTTTGATCAAATGCTAATTTTCCAAAATTTCAGCATTTTGTTTTCAATGACTTAATTACATTTGAGTGAGTTATTTTCTTGAGCTATATTGAAATGACATCATCAATTTAAAAACACACACTCCATTCGCAGATCTAGTCAGAGCATGCACACAATTAAGCTATGAAACCTGCATGAACTGGTGTAAAAAGAATCAGAATAATGTCAACGCATATTCCTTTAAGATGATGCATAATAATTCTCACTTTCCTGATGAGTTCACAGATCCTTCTAAGTTCATGTAGTTAAGAGGAGTGACTGTAGAAGTATCCTTAGAGATATGTGGCACCACCATGAAGTACTAACTATTTAGTGGTGAACCATATGGAGCGAATTGCAAACACTTCCGGGCAGAGAGCAGCCAGCAATGCCAGCTGCAGAGGCACGAAGTAGAGCGTGGAGCGAGGGAAAGCTGGATTGAATGCACATTGTATATTTCAGATCTCTGTTGTTTCAGCTCCTCTCCTGCATCAGCCAGTTCTGTCTTCCTCCTATTGTCATTTCTTCAGATTTTTTTCAAGAAAATAAAGAATCTGGAGTTTTACATGACCACTCCTAATTTTTTAAGTGTTGCAACCAATTCCATTTTCAAAATGTAATAAAAGTCAAATAAAATGTTTCTGAGCCCAGCCAGTGTGGGCATCAAGAGGTCACAGTTTGATTCCAGGTTGCCGGCTTGATCCCCAGGAGGGGGCGTGCAGGAGTGATGTTTCTCTCATCATAGATTTTTCTCTCTCCTCCTCCTGCCTCTCCTTCCTGTCTTTAAAAATCAATAAAAAATATATATAAATTTTTTTCTGAAAACCAGATGCTGCCCATGGACAGCCAGCCTTAAAGTTGTGTCTATAAGATTCAAGACACCCCTCATGTTGTTAAAGATAAAGGTATCCATCGACACTTGTCAAAGATGGTAAGGCAGACCTTATCAGGACCACTGCAACAGACAAAGGGGACCCTACAACTGGATTGCACAGAGGGGAGAGAGTCTGGGCCCAAATCCCAATACAGCAGGGGCCGGTGGGAATTCAGAGCCAAGGAGGACGGGGAGCGTCATAGACAGAAAATTACCAAGAGGAACTAGAGAAGTAAAGATTCTGGCTCAACCAATCTAACAAGATTCTTTGCTGAAGACAGGCCAGGTAATCAGACATCACCTGGGGGATCGTGGAGGATGAGATATCGAGGGTGATCAGATACCAAGGGGGTGGAGGGATTCTGGTGAAACTGACTTAGCAGGGTTATTGCTAAAATTGGAATTTACAAAAGGAAGTGCACATATGGGCCTAGGACAGTGGTGGGCAAACTCCTTAGTCAACAGAGCCAAATACCAAGAGGACAACGATGGAAATTTCTTTTGAGAGCCACATTTTTTAAACTTAAACTTCTTCTAATGCCACTTCTTCAAAACAGACTAGCCCGGGCCATGGTATTTTGTGGAAGAGCCACACTCACATGTGGCTCGCAAGCTGAAGTTTGCTGACCACAGGCACTGAAGAAGGTCAGGAGCTTAAGGGTTGGTCAAACAAAGAATCTTAGTCAATGTTTTCCAGAACCTTGCAGCTCTACTAATAAAAGCCAAGTTCTTTACTCCTAAGAATGAAGTGGGGGAAATCGTCACCCCAACTCAACTAATGCCTAAAAATCCAATGCTCCACGACCCCAGAATCTTCCGAAGTTCTCAGGTTAATGTTCTAAACAAGAGCACCTTCTGACCATTAGGAATTAAATACCATGATTTTGGGCAACAGCAGGCTGTTCATGCCTCAGAAGGCTTCATTCCTCCTGAAAGATTTATCCTCATTATAATCAGAAGATATTTGGTTCAAAAATATCATGTTACTTCAAGCAATTTTACAGTACATCCAGGAAGCCAAGTATTTCTTTACGGTAATTATTGCAAATCCCTGATATATAGATTAGATATAGATAGATATATAGATATAGATATATAAATATAGTCATATAGATATATACATATAGATATATATTAGATGGTTGCAACAACATTTTTAATACTATATATATACACACACACACATAACTTGTCTTATATTCCTATCTGACACTTTTTGGTAATTTCTTTATTGCAATTTTGGGGAAATATCTTTTTATCTTTGGGAAAGATGTATGATATGATGATTATAAGCAGAGACTCCTAAGCCAGACTGCTGGGATTTAAATCTCAGCTCTACCACTTGGTAGATGTAAAATCTTGGGCAGGTTACTTAACTTCCCTGGACTTAGTTTCTGATACATTGATTGTGGGCTAAGAACCGTGCCTATGATGAATGATTATTGTGTGGATTAAATGAGCTAATATTTGTTGACAATTAGAACAATACCTGGCACTATCCAATATTTACCATCACTATTATAATCATCTTGTCATGTGTGCCTGTGTGTGTGTGTGTGTGTGTGTGTGTGTATGTCTAGACAGAGATGAATGAAAGCACATTGTATATTTCAGTTCTCTGTTGTTTCAGAAATACTCAAAACATGGTTCTTCAACCATTAATATCCATCTCATTGGAAAGACTGTTAGAAACATAAATTCATGGGCCCAGAATCAGAATCTCTGAGTGTTCTA